ATATAGAGTAACTGCACAAACCTGGGTGTCTTGAGGCTCCTTAGCCATGGCCTTCGCGGTCCGAACACTTGCTATGGCAAGTATAATTTCGAGGATGGAACATATGATAATGAAGACATGTACAGCTATCATTGTTTTTTCCTCTTTCCGGAACTCGATTTTTGCACCTTTGTCAGCAAACCATGGAGATTCCTGGTATTCAGTTTTTGCCTCCATATATTTGATGAATAATATGCTATTGAGTGCCATCGCATAGGTAAATGTGGTTAGAACTGATAGAGCGGCACATGCAATGCTCACTGACCTCAGGCCGCTCATCTGCAACAATGAATGGCACGGGAAGCTAAGTTTTCATGGCGTAAAATCACTCGTGTTTTAAACGTTAAGATTTTAGAGGTACAAAGTTCTCGGTCAAACGCCATAATATTCTTTAAAGGGCACGATCGGCGGAAAAATATCAAGGAGAAGCAAAGAATGATAAAAATAAACAAGGAAGTCTGTTAAAAGTATTATGCTATTTTAATTCTCACCAAAGCAGAAGAGGGTCTGGACCCGTTCACGGTTAAAACCAATCCCATGATGCCAATGGGTAAGATCTAAAAAAACAGTTAGAAGAACATTCAACCACTCGATCAATATTTATAAAATGTAAACGATTAATATCGGAGTTGATTTCAATATTGCCACTTTTGAGAAGGTACTTATTTTTTTATTCCAGCTCGCAAGTCCCTGAAGGACATCGATTAATCGATAAGAATACAGAAATGATAGAGCACATTTCGACTGATCGTCGTAAAATTGTAAATTAGTAAAACCCGTTAAAGTGGAAAGAGACATTGAAGTAAGATTAGGAAGAGAGACGAACGAAGCAGTAGATTCATTGTAGGTTTATTCAAATGTCTTCAATTTAATGTGGACGAAAAGAAATTTCTGTAAATGTTGGCTTTCCGGCTTTATTTGATTGACAGATGTCATACACTGATTGTAGACACTTAATAGAAACCTTTAGCCAGTGTGACTTAAGTCTATGCAATCTAATTACCTAACCTATGATAACTTATGGGAGCCGTTGGCGTCAAATTTCTTTAACGTTACAGAAAAAGCCTACAAGAAAGCATGGCCCACGATCATTGCTGCGTTAATTTCTCTAGTAACGACAAACGAAATTAAAGTGGTGAGAATTTATCTTTCTTCAAAATTCCTTCGAATGATTTATTGAGATCGGAATGGATTGCCGCTACAAGGCGAGATGAAGGGCTAGATTTCAAGGTAAAATTCGCGTGGTGACCGATGAGCTGTTATATGCACGTGTTTTTAGTGATCGACTATTCCTTTCGATGGAGGACTCAGCCAGCAGTTTTTTTTATCTATGAAGTATTTGTAGCGGCAATCCATGTAGATCTCAATAAATCATTCGAAGGAAAGTTGAAGAAACATAAATTTTCACCACTTTAAGTTCGTTCGACAGTCTCGATTTAGTGCCCCACGCAATCCAAGGTGTATTGAATCCAAAAACACTTTCATCAACAGATTTTTCTTAAAACTTCTGTCTTTAAAAAAAAAACCGCCTAGGTTGTTCTTAAAAGAGAATTCGAGGTCAAATCATCGAGTTCCCTTCGTCTGGCAATGTAATCATTTGCATTTCTGATCGACTTTCGCTAGTGTAAAACATCTTGCGCAATGTTTATTTTGTTGACTGTGCGACAAAACTGAGAGATGTCCTAAAATAACTTTAGAATGATGCGGACTGTTTTATCGAAGTACTGCAATATATTTCTCAATCTTGGAACTTCTTCGATCGCTCAACAAATAAAAACAACAAAAGTTGAATGTTCCCAAGTCACAGACGACCGATTCGCTTTTGAAGGGCGAATTTTGTATTCTATGTCTCCAATGTCATCATATCCTGAATCAGTTTGAGAGTGTAGTTGTATTCTTATCGAAAGAATTACGGACCAGATATTTGCAGGTGGAAGGGTTATGAATCCTAATGGTTTCAGATTATTCAGTAAAATGTAATTCTACGTAAACATTCACCCGACATTTGTAGTATGAGGGATTGGAACAGAATTTCACTTTAAGCTTCGAAGAAAATCCTGTCCCAAAATAACGAGACTAGAACACCGTAACGACCAGATGCTTATTTAGAACAGCAAGATTCAATATCTTTGCATGTTTTTCTGACCTAAACCCTCCATTAGAAAATGTAAATTTAGGCACTACTTTGTAATTGCATTCTTTTGAGAAATATAATGTACTTACAAGAAGAGAAATCCAAATTGGCATCAATATGAGACTGGCATACATGTAGCGAACTTCAAAATGGTCAACCATTCCGAGCACGAAGAGGATACCTGCCATTACAAGCTGAGCGATCGAGATAATTTTAAGGTATCGTCTGTTGGACGCCATTTCGCAGGATTCCTTGGCAAACTCAAACAACGATTTATACGACTGATGACGTCAATGGGCTCCACAGGACCTTAACAGCTGTTTGCG